AGTGTTGGAATAATAAGCATAAAGTAAAGACATAGTGTGGGATCACCTAGCCTATAGCCAAGCGCATAAAATTTATCATGAAAGTAAAAATATCGATTCAATTTTAAACTTAAATTATTTCTGAATTAAGCTATTTTCTGATATATCACCAACGTTTTTAATAAAAACAAACCTCTTTAATTAACGGAGACTCCAAATTAAGAAATCAACTAATATTTTTTCCAGTTTAGCTGTTTATACATTTCGTTTGATACTTTCGTACCTGGTGATGACAAAACCTTGTCGAAACGTTGTGGTGGGTAATGAAGAAAAACTTTAATATAAGTTTAACATAACAGCAAATGAGACGGCTTGAACCAGCCATTATGAATAACCAAAGACTTTTTTAAAACTTCTATATCGCTAAAGGAGGCAGAAAACATACATGTTCACATATCACATTATGACAGAGTGATGGATATTTGGGGGTTACACCAGTAAAAAATGAGGTATTTCAAATATCATATTAATGTTTTTATTAAGTAATTTATAATACCACAGAAACGGTTAAATGTACTTTAACAAGTAAACTTTGCTGTAAAAACTGATACAAGAAAATATGAGTAAAATTCAAGTAATAGTTATTTGATGCTGTTTATTTTTAAAGCATTCTTTTCTTTTCATCCACCTATTGTCATACAATTTGCATATTACTCTCACATTTGTAATGAATTTACCAGCTGCCCCCCCAATGGCACAGCGGTATGTCTGCGGACTTACAACGCTAGAAACCGGCGTTTGATACCCGTGGTGGGCAGAGCACAGATAGCCCATTTTGTAGCTTTGTGCATGATTACAAACAAACAAACAATGAATTTACACAAATAGTATGCGATTACCAAAAATTGGTATGGTGTTTTTTTTATCAAACCAATAAATCATTTTTATAATATGATAGGGTTAACTTAAAAGATAAAAAAATAACTCGTGCATTACACACAGCAGAAAAATATTAAAGGGAAATTATAATTCATAATACTTTAACAATAATGCCAATCATCTCCTCAATTCATTTTTATGCAAATTAGGCATCTGATGATCCATTACATGATATGAAATCTAAACGTTTGGTCAATCAACCCATGCTGGTAAATCACCACTAGATGGCATTACGTCTTAACAGTGTATGATAGTTCACCTTCTTATCGAGTATAGCACTACCTGTGACAAACAGCCCGGCATTGATATTGCCAGCTCAAAATCAGATTGTTTATAAGTTCCCCAGATATCCTCGATTATTCCTCAAAAAGAGTTGTTTCCAAAGCATGTTTCTTGTCTGAAGTCATCTGTCAGGATGCAACGCTTCTCCAAAGAGTATCCTCGATTGGGATTTAAATCCACAACACGCACACCACTTCATTCAGTCACCTCTTTCTTCTTTTAGGAACGTGTCGACCAATTTAATGTGATGTGGAGGCAGTACCATCCACTAGACTAAAGCCAGAGTCGATTGCATCAGCATATGACAGCATAAGCGATCGCAGGATTTGAATCATTTATTCAAATAAAATGTACAGGTCGATATGCTCACTAATGCTTATTCCTGCTTGCGCCTTTTTCCACAACACCATACAGTTTTCGTTTCTTTATGAAAATATGGATGGAACTGGTTCCAGCTTCTCTACAACTAAGTATACATCTGTTATCCGGCATTAATGTGAAGCGTGACTCACCTCTAAAAAGAATATTGACCTATATGGTATTAGTCCCATTGGATTTGTTCTTGGTACCATTGCAATTAAGTTGTTTTGTGTGTCTTGTTGTGAGTGAAATCACCTCATTGGGCATCTTGTAAAGTCTGTTTTAACAGTTTGTAAACTAACATGGCTCTCAAATGCAGCTTCGAAAATATGTCTCATCTCTGAGTAGGTACCTTACTGTTGCCTGTAGATGTTGGTCATATGCATTTATTTTGGATAACGATTTGTCTTATCCAGGTGTCCGAAGTCTGGTGGTCAGGACGCTCGACTCGCAATCTGAGAGTGTCGCAGGTTCAAACCCCGAACATGCTCACCCTTACAGGTGTAGGTGTGTTATAATGTCACTGTCAATCCTACTATTCGTTGGTAAAAAAGTAGCCCAAGAATTGGCGATTAGTGGTGTTTACTAGCTGCCTTCCTTCTAGTCTATTTGGTCTAAATCATAGTGACGGCTAGCGCAGATAGCCCTGGTGTAGCTTTACACGAAATTAAAACACAAAACAAAACAGGTGTCTACATTAGCGATTTGTGTATAATTATGTAAAATGGATTATATCAACTCATAGTTATGGACAAGGCCATAAAAGGGCAATGCAAAATTTTAAGAAAGTAAATCTAGCATAGTGCAAGTGTGGTAAGTAGCAGCGGAAATATTGTATGTGGATTACATAAAACATCAGCAACCTGGACACAGCATCATTAGCGTAGATACATCTTGCAGTGTAAACTCAACCAAACCACAATACTAAGATGCAGAAGTTTTAAATAATAAAAAGTACCAAAAATCATCTTAAAAGAAAAACAAATTAAACATGAAATCTGAAACATCTGATACAGGAATAAAAATAAAAGAACAAAAATATGCTTTTTTTTGGGGGGGGGGGGTCGAGGGAGTACCAGACCCTCCCAGGTCCAAGAAAAGCAGGCCTAAAACTCTGGTACAGACAAAAGAACAACTATATCATTAGTTCGAAGCGGTTTCTGTTAGCAACAAATTGAGACATTGTAACCAATTGCAACAGTCTCCTGTGATTGGTCAGCTTTCATTCATCCGGAGCTCTTCAGATGAGTGAAACATCTATATGCTCTTTTTGAAGTTCACACTTGAGTCAAGGACAATTTAAAAAGACTTTAAACTCTATGAAACTCAAAGTGAAAACTGAGACAAAATTAAATTATATCACTATATATATAGCATAGACTGAATGATAGTTTCATGTTACATAAAACTATCCCATTTGTTCCCATTGGTATAAGAATGAACTAACAGTGGTACATTGCATTATTTTATAACAGTGATTCTGATTTTTCATAGAGATAATATTTCAAATTCTGATCATTTTAATTATTTATGCTAAACTTGACGTTCTTGGCAATACAATAAATTACAAAACCTAGCCTAAAATGACTTGTTTCTTTTTTTTTGTTGTTGTTGTTGTTGTTGTTGATGATGCTTCGCAATTTGAAATATTCTTCTTCTTACACGTTTTTTTAAGAATAAAAATGCGTATTCTAATACACGAGGTTTCATGATTGACAAACGTCTCGTGATATATAATAACTGGTCAAAAGATAGATGTGAGTCTAGAACCTTCTGAAAGCGTTGTATCTTAATCGTATTGTACAAAGCTGTAATAGAAACTCTAAACGGTAAAATCGATATTATATGTGAAAATATTACCGAACTTTTATCGATCAGAAACTGCCTCCCTTTTATTTATTTATTTTTGATAGGCAAGAACATGTGACACATTAGATTGGGCCTTTTATTGTGCTGTGTTTTTGTAGTTATATGTTTATATATATACATACATATGTTTCTGTTTTCCTGGACTATGATTGGTCGGGTATGTTCCAGCCTTTTGTTTAAGCATTTATATAAAACAGATTTGATTACGCACTTAAGAAAAGAAGAATTCGTTGTGGATTTGAAGCTCCGAACTTCGTTGTAAGATGACTAATACATCTAATGCCACAGTTGTAAGTGCTTTGGATAAATGGAAAACCATACTTACATCGGATTTCCTTCAGCTAGTTCCTAACCACTGGCTACAGTTTGACCCTCCAAGTGACTTGTCCCACTATATTTTAGGCACCGTATACTTTGTAGTTATGGTGACTGGCATCCTAGGAAATGGAACTATCGTCTGGCTTTTCTGCACGTGCGTACAGCTTCTGTCATTATTTCTAGAATACTGAATAAAGAAATAAGCTCGTCATTGTTGGAATTAGCACCCTTTAACCACTTTTAATCCTCAACTATTAGTTTTACTATTTAAAGCATTTGCTAAAAAATGCGTTCTTTCTTAATATTTTTGTTGTTGTTGTTGGCTACGTTAAGTAAACTAATTTGGAATAAAATAAACTAATTAGATCTATGTTTTTAGTTAGTTTTTCTTTCACGGTCTATCTTGGAGCCTTCGGAAGGTGAGGTTATACAATGTATTTGGTAAATGAAATCTCGCTTACCGAAGAAGCTGCGATATTAAGGCTGGTGTCTTATGAAATAGTGTGATAAACATTCGAAGAGGTTCGCTGAGTTATTAATTTAATAATACTTACCATATGCTATGATTCTGAAAGAGTTTGGGGTAATGCGCTACAGTAAGTTTAGGTGTACTTCCTAGATATCTAGCACTAGTTTGAGTAATGCTACAGTAAGTTTAGGTGTACTTCCTAGATATCTCACACTAGCAGTGCGCTACAGTAAGTTTAGGTGTACTTCCTAAATATCTAGCACTAGTTTGATGTAATGCGCTACAATAAGTTTAGGCGTACTTCCTAGATATTTCGCACTAGTTTGATGTAGTACGCTACAGAAGTTGACATTACTTGATAAACATATTGTATTACTTTGATATGCTGCACTACAATAATTTGAGATGTACTTGTTAAATATATTGCACTAGTTTCCTATAGTGCACTACAGAAATTGAGGTTACTTGAGGTGTATTACACTTGTTGTGAGGAGAGGAAATCCATTACACACTAAATGTACAGAGGTACAGCTTTTGAGTGAATTATTAGTTTTTTATTTTTTGCTTAACTATTACAACGTTTCGACCACTTGTGTCACTCTATATATTTTCTGCGCTAGCCGTCCATAATTTAGCAGTGTAAGACTAGAGGGAAGGCAGCTAGTCATCACCACCCACCGCCAACTCTTGGGCTACTCTTTTACCAACGAATAGTGGGATTGACCGTCACATTATAACGCCCCCACGGCTGAAAGGGCGAGTATGTTTGGTGGGACGGGGATTCGAACCCGCGACCTTCAGATTGCGAGTCGAGCGCCCTAGCCACCTGGCCATGCCGGGCTGACAGTATTATTTAAGAAACAGACTAGTTATAGTAGAGAGTTATCACCCTTGGCCGACTTTTAATCGTTAACTGTCCATACTACTATGAAATCAGCGCATTGTTATTTAGAACTCAAAACTGTAATGTTTGTATATCTTGCCTTCATCCCCGAGAAACAATTTTTATGTGAATTAAACGGTTTCGATAACATCCTTGGCCCAAAAGTGACAGTAAACTAGAATTACGAGTGGCTGGGTTATAAAACCAACCCAAAATAATAGAAAAAAAGATACTAGGGCATGCTTTCACGGAAACTGTTTTAGCTAAAAGTATACATATTGAAAACTTGAGGTTAGTAGTATATTTTAGACCTTCCTTTTTTGTTGTTGTTCTGATCGCCCTTTGTTACTACTTGCTTTTTTTTTCACTCGGGAAAAGAGGTGACTATCCATTCTATCCCCCCACCCCGATCATCTCCTACTAACTTGACTAGCACTTGTAAGTCAAAGATGGTAGTCCTCGTCGACCAGCAGGACACTCCTGTTCTCACATTACCAGGTTATGAAAAAGAAAAGTAATGCACATTATGCACAGTCTTTACCTAATTTATTCAAGTTTTAATACCAGATTGCCCACCAGGTGGATCAGCGGTAAGTCTGAGGGTTTATGACGCTAAAAAGTGGGTTTCGATACCCACTGTTGGTAGAGCACAGATTGTGCATTGCGTAGCTCTGCGCTTAACAACAAAATTAAGAAACAATTACTTTGAGCTTTATGTATTTAAACTTATACATTTATTCTATATTTGAGTTTTTTTTTTTTACATTTTGCTTATTATTCTACAGGGATTCCCGTGAGAAAAACACAATTATTTTTTTAATTTATAAATACATACAATGGGTACTGGTATGTATATTTAGAACTTTTTCTCTATGTAGAGTCAAGGCCTTGCGGACTCCATCGGTATTCTTAGTTTTCAACCTCGCTGTGAGCGACCTTGCCATATGCTTAATGATTCCAAGTTTCGTTTACAACAGTTTTTCTCTTGGTCCTGCCACTGGAATAGTGGGTAAGTTCATTAATCATAGTGTATGAGCATATCTCTTGAAAACAATAATCAAATATGAGATCAATTATAGTGAAAATTGTAGATAACAACAGTGAAAACAATTTTATTTTTTTTTGTAATTTAGCAAGTTAACTGTGTTTGAGAGTTTGACAAGATCGTCTAAAATAAATACGCGAGGATTTAATTTCTTGCTTGAAGTTTAACGAGATTACTTACTCTACATAATTACTAACAAAACAAAAGTGTTTATGTGAGAGTAAAGAAAAATACATATGTATTTAAAGTGTGTATTTAGTTTTAATTTCTAGTAGTATTGAAGATGAAAACCAACAATATCAGAGCGGTAGTGCCATCTAAGTTCTTGTTTATCATATTTATTGTGAAATGTTTTGTTCTATATTGTATTATTGACAACCTTGATAAAACTTATCTAGTACGTGTTTTATCTAAATAACGTGTTCAAATAATATTTGTATAACATGATTTTATTTATTTCGTATTTAAAATATTGGGTATAAAGTTTTTTAGACTACTAATGTCAAAGTGAACATGTTTGAGCTGAATGTGTGTATATTGTTAGCCAATTGAATAAACACGGTGGTTATATAATACTTTATATATTTTAATATATGTTTAAGGTTTCAAAAAGGTAATAATAAAAAGTATCATACTCCGTCAGCTAAAGAATTTTTCACCATAGCAATTGTTATTCTGATAAATGATTCATATAAGTAGCGTTTCTACCACTGCTATGTTTGTTGTATCCCAGCTGGCCTGATGAGCTCTGGAGTTGGACAGAATGTATCGTCGACATAGTGTGGTTGATATACTATTACACAATTTACTTATCAGAAAAAAAAAACACTTTAATATATGTCTGTTTGTTTACGTTTAATCGCAAAGCTACCCAATGGGTTATCTGTGCTGTGCTCTCTGCGGGTATCATTCCCGAATTTTAGCGTATAAACTCTCAAGCTTACCGCTGAGCCATTGAGAAGCAAACTCTAAGTAAACGATTAAAGAATATACTATTTAAAAATACGATAAATCTAAAACTTGTGCTGTATAAACAATGGGATATTTGCGCTCTGTCTACCGTGGAGATTAGGGACTCGGATTATACGGTTGTAACTCAGTAAGCCAAATATAATTGAATACAATAACAAGCATAATAAAATGTACTAACAGGTACTACATGTGATATTCTAGGAGAAGTTACCACATTTTGGGCACTGTTTGGAACTTCAAGGTTACCTAAACTGTTAGTTCTAAATAACTCAGTGTTAGTGTACATATAAAGTAAAAAAAAAGGTAATCTGTAAAAAAATCATATTTTATAATTCACTCATGCGAAATACAAAATTGCATATAGTGACGTAGCTGAACAGATAATCGGGATAAAATGTTAGTTTGATCCTCCACCTTAAAATAATCTCAAGAAACTAAGATCTCACGAGAGTGACGAAACTTTGCAAAAGCAGTCAGAAACTGATAGATGTTGTAAAACTGATTAAGTAATATTTATTGGTTGTTTAATTACGTCCGTTTAGAGTATCACACATTTATTTTTTATGCTCTAAAGGCACAAATGTACATTCATATATATATCCCTCCTTAAACTTAGAAGTATGTTTAGTACGTAAAATACGTAAATACAATAAATGTGTGGCTCAATTCTCATTTATTTTATTTTCTCTTCCATTTTGCTATTCTTTAGGCTGCAAAATGTACGGCTTTATTGGAGGATTGTCTGGGACATCTGCAATCATGACCATCACTGCTATGTCAATGGAACGCTACTATTCCATTTCGAAACCTCTAGGTGTGAGTGGTCAAGCAAACTGGACTTTAATCGTTTGCACTATCGCATTTATCTGGATTTATTCATCCGTATTCAGTTTCATCCCCTTGTTTGGAATTAACCAATATGTTCCAGAGGGGTACTTAAATAGCTGTAGCTTTGACTACTTATCGGAGGACTTGGCCAGTCGACGTTTTGTGCTAGCTTACTGCTTCGCCGCCTGGTGTCTTCCTGTGTCAATAATCTGCTTCTGTTATCTAGGAATAGGTTTTGTAGTAAGAAAACATCAGCTCTATCTTCGCGAGCAGGCTCGCCGAATGAATGTCCAAAATTTCGCTAGCAGTAAACAACGCAAAACTAGAGTTCAGCTTGCAAAGATCACGTTTTGTTTGATCTCTCTCTGGACACTCGCATGGACACCGTATGCTATAGTAGCTCTCTTGGGTGTATTCTCCCGAAAAGATTTATTGCTTCCTACAGTATCAATGGGACCTGCTCTTTTCTGTAAATTCGCATCTGTGATAGACCCTTTTGTGTATGGGTTATCTCATCCTCGTTTTAAGAAGGAACTAAAAAAAAATTTCCATGGCTCCCTATAACCGTTCCTTCTTCCGACAGAGGTCCTACTGGCAGTCGCACCAGTACCTCATCTAACTCTTTGAAAACCAACCTCTCCACAGAAGGGAAGTCAGCCGCTACAAGTGAGCTCCGAAGATCACGTGTTGTTCATCAGTCTTCACAAGACATATTTAGTGGTGAGGTAGATCACAAGCCACTTGCTTCAGCACCACGTTCCATACAGCCGACGAATAAAGACACAGAATTTGAATCTGATCTTGAAGTATCTAACTCTCCTGTACGTATTTTGTCCTCTAATAGAAACCAAAGCATCGATCTCCCAGAGCAGGTACTCTTATCGAATGTTTACCATAAGTCTGAAAACTCTTCTAAACAAGAGAACCAGGAAGAATCTTACATTGGAAAGTTTGAAAATTCTTCTAAACAGGAGAACCAGGAAGAATCTTACATTGGAAAGTTTGAAAATTCTTCTAAACAGGAGAACCAGGTAAAATCTTGCATTGGAAAGTTTGAAAATTTTTCTAAACAGGAGAACCAGGAAAAATCTTGCATTGGAAAGTTTGAAAATTCTTCTAAACAGGAGAACCAGGAAAAATCTTACACTGAAAAATTTGAAGAATTTTCTAAACAGGAGAACCAGGAAGAATCACATATTGGAAAGCCTGAAGATTCTTCTAAAATGGTGGAACAGGAAGATTCTTATACTGGAAAGTCTGAAAAATCTTCTAGGTTTGTGGAACAAGAAGATTCTTATGCTGGAAAGTTTGAAAACTCTTCTGGGTTGGTTGAACAGGAAGATTCTTATACTGGAAAGTCTGAAAACTCTTCTAGGTTTGTGGAACAAGAAGATTCTTATGCTGGAAAGTCTGAAAACTCTTCTGGGTTGGTGGAACAGGAAGATTCTTATACTGAAAAGTCTCAAAACTCTTCTAGACTGGTGGAACAAGAAGAATCTTATACTTTATTATGTTCAAAACTTCCAGATCACTACTCAAAATGTTCTACGTCTAACATCACGAACTATATTCCACGAGAAAGTGACATGCAGAAAATTAAGGTTTTTGTTATTCCCCAGGTTAGCAATGTCGTAAATCAAAACGACCAGATACAAATACATATTAGAAGGTCATTATAAAAAAATGATATTTAAGTATTCTGAAAATGAGTAATACGTGGGGAATTTTATTTTTGTTCTGTTTCTCACTTTTGCGACTACGCTTCTTAAGACAGATTTTAGAAGTATGCATGTAAGCTAACAAAAGTAGCTACATGTAAAGTAGGTACATGAGATTTTTACTGGTAGAAAACTCAAATTACAACTACAAATTCACTATGCCTCTTTCTTGTGTTGCTTTTATATTGTTTTGCATTCTGATTATTATGAAGCTGTTGTCATTTGAGCTATAAACTCATAGTTGTTGTTGGTAACTAAAGTAAACATTAGCGATTTTTCATAATAATTACTTTTAAAAGTTATATAACGTTGAAGGTTTTATGGGTAGTCACTGACGTGGTAGTCTTTTTTTAATAAATGGGCTCAACGTGGAATAGTTGATAGCGTGTAGGACTGTTCATCGAAGGACATAGGGTTCGAGACATAACGTCACTCAAAGACCTTCACGCCTTTAGCTGTGGGTGCGTTATAAAAGTGACAGTCAGTTTTGTTACTCGGTTTAAAAAGCCGGACAAAGCACAGGGGGGGGTCTCCGACCTAGCCGTTAAGGTAGATGCGCTTAAGGTACCTTTCAGGTTGAAAATCCCAGTTCTACTAAGATACATTTTTCTTCTTTTTTAATGGCTTCATGTAAAGTTTATTGTCTTTCACGTTTATCCAGAAGAGTGAATAGATGGCGTTTCAAATGAAGCAAATGAGAGATTCATTTCGGTCCACGTTTTGAATTAGTAATAAACGATTAAGCACTCGTAAAATTATGTTAATTCAGAGAAAACATACAAACTAGTAAAGATAAAACAATAGTAATTCATATGTATACTGTAAAATATGGACACAAGTTACATTATAAAGACGAATTTACTTTGTTGTTTTATTCGTAGCAATTATAATCTATCTTTGGTCATAGAGCTTGAGTAAATAAAATATTATATTTTACAAGCAACGTATTCACTAGCGCTGTAGAACCGCTTCTGAGCTTCATATTCTGTTAAACTGTTTAGAGTTTTTAGGGCTAGAAGATCAATAGAGTAGGCTAAGATTAAAAAAAAATTACAACCTGATACAAAGTGAAATGTTAAACTCTTGAAAGCTGAGGTGTATTAAATTTTCAATGTCTGTTAAAATAGCAATTTACATTAACATTCGCTAAATATTATGTTTCAGATATTATACTTTGCTTCTTACTAACTTGTATTAATATATTTTATGACTATATTCTTAAACTTGGTGTTTAATTAAAGTACGTTTACATATTGTCTTCGTTGTAAATTAAGTCTTTAAATTATCAATTTTCTTTTGTTACTTTTACTCTTTACAAGCGGCGTATTGATCATGCCTTATAAGTTTGTTTGTAGTTATGCACAAAGCTACACAATGGGCTATCTGTGCTCTGCCCATCACGGGTATCGAAACCCTGTTTCTAACGTTGTAAGTCCCCAGATATACCACTGTGGCACTGGGGGGGGGGGGCGCTTTATAAGAACTACGTACGATGTCCCTAGCTGTCCTCAGAACTATATTTCCTACATTGTCGATCGTGTTCTGCCCTTTTGGCATGATTACGCACTATTGTCCAATATCGCAATTTTCATTATATCGAGCTTCTGCGAAAGATAGGGAAGCCAATGTAAAATAAGAAAAAACTCACAGTTATAATCGGCTGTATTAGGCCAATTACAGGTTTCTTTTTTGTTTTGTTTTTTGCTCTAGTAGTCGACCCACAAGCCTCCTACCTGCTCAGATCTGACAAAACGACGCGAATTTCACACACTGGTAGGTACCTTTCCGCAGATGATAAGTAACTGAAAAATGTCAAGATGTTTTATTGGCCTTTATTATATCTTTTAAATTATAATGACCTTTTATTGTGGATTGGTTTGTTTGTTTTGAATTTCGCGCAAAGCTACACGAGGGCTATCTGCGCTAGCCGTCCCTAATTCAGCAGTGTAAAACTAGAGGGAAGGCAGCTAGTCATCACCACCCACCGCCAACTCTTGGGCTACTCTTTTACTAACGAATAGTGGGATTGACCGTCACATTATAACGCCCCCACGGTTGAAAGTGCGAGCATGTTTTGTGTGACGGGGATTCGAACCCATGACTCTCAGATTGCGAGTCGTGCGCCCTAACCACCTGGCCATGCCGGGCCTTTATTGTGGAGGAAGGGGGGTCGACGAACCCTTCGAACTCCATTTGAATGTACCACTCAAGTTAGACTAGGCAATCTAAATATACAAAAGTCCATGAGATCGTAGTCAGGTGACTTTGTAAGTATGTTGGAGAAGGGGATGGCATGAATACCAGTTATATTATCCATGGTGCATATAGATACTTTGTGGTAGAGTTATCCTGATGATGCAGCCATCCCTTTTCGACGTCCTGGCCAAAAGTGCAACACGTTTCAAAACGTTCTCATTTAGTAACATATACTTTTTTGTGCACTTTGTGAAGCTTGAATTTCTATTGTATTAGAAACTTGTGGCAAATAAAAAGTACGACAGAAAACTTTCTTAACATTCTCTGTTTCATGTTGAAAAGTGTTATCAGTCTTTCAGGTAAACCTAGAACTTGTCAAATATTACAAAAAAGAGGACCCATCTCATCTGTGAGATATATTTCATACAGTTTCACAAAACTTGTCTTTCTCTCGCAAATGGAGGGCAGATTGCACACTCGTGGCATATTACTCGGCAAACATTTTTTTCATATACAATAAAAAATGTACACTTTCAGTTTACCCATGGTAGGAACCTAAACACTACCTATAGTTGAGTCTGCATTAGCTTACGTTTTTGCTTAGTGTACAAAGACAATGTATAATATTTAGGGTTAAAGCTGACATGATGACATAAACAGCAGATCCCAGATCAAGCTATTAGTTCTCTTGCTTTTCTTCTTAGGTTTCACTGATTCCTGAGCAAATGTTCTTAACCCACTATTACACATTGTAATGTACAGGTTACACATACGAATGCTTCAATTCTCTAATAGAATACTCTTACTTCCAGGTAACAGTCTAAATAAACCATAAAAATAATTTTATTGATTCTTCAATTGAACAATATTACTTCTAGGTAAGGTATCCTTTTATATCTTAACAAAATATATTTCATAAATACACTTTTTTTTTCAGTAAAGACCTTTAAGTAAAAAATTCAAAGAAGACATTTTCCATCGTACTTTCATTATATATGCAGTAGAGGGTTAAACTGTGTTCTTCTAATAATGTATATATAATTCAGTTTTTCTTCCCAGTTGAACAATGTGTACCAAAAATATCTATATTTTCGAGTAGTAACAGGTCTTGGGTAAACATAAAGGTTATATACATAAAGTGTTGAGGAAAATAAAGTCAACTTCCAAGTCAGTTCTCTCTCTCTAACTGATATCTTCCAGTGAAATGCTGTTGTTTCAAAATTTTAAAACGAATGTTCTATGTCACGATGTTTGAAAACAAAAATCACTTTTAAGGTTTTTTTGGGTAACATCACGCACAATAGATGCGTTAGGCATAAGCAGACAAAGCAATTGTTTAGAGCCTCGAGCAGCTCAAGGGGCCTCTGATTCACGAAGATTTTATATTTTTATCAGAACTTTAGAACTTGCCTGTTTTATTTTGTTTTGTTGTTAAGCACAAAGCTAGACAATAGGTTTTCTGTGGTGTGCACACCACGAGTAACGAAACCCGATTTTTAGCGTCATAGGCCTGCAGACTTACCGCTGATTTACTGGAGACTAGGTGTATGTAAATACTAGTAAAAATATTGAAACTCTAAAGAGAAAAATACAGAATACAAGGTACATTAAAAGACAATTAAAAAGTGAAGACTGGCTAGAGAGTTGAAATAAAACAGAAGAAGTAAAAGAAAAACAACAGCCAGAACTAGAATAAAAAAATAGAAACTACATTAGTAATGACGATTTTGTTTGTTTTTTGGTAAGCGCAAAGCTACACAATTGGCTATCTGTGCTCATGGGCATCAGCAGAAAATTTTTCAGGGGGACGCAAAGTAGTGTGAAATTGTGAATTGAATATGCCCACCACGAGTATCGGCTTTTAGGGGCGTGAGTCCTCAGACTTGCCGCTAAGCCATTGAGGGACGTAATGTTAAAATAAATTAAAACCATTTCAGAAAATATAAATTTGCTTTATTTTTCACCTGTAGATATAGGAAGTGAATTCTATATTTTAAAAATGCATTAAGATTCGAAGCACAATTTTCCAAGGCCTATGTAAGATAAAGTAAGAGGTCAATCGTATCAGTAATTATAACAATGAATTCATTTAACTATAATAACGAAATTTATATTTTGATACTTTCATAGATTTTATAGACAGTAATACAAGCCTTTTGTAAGTATAGTTCGTGGCTAGTTACTAAATCTTATACGTCAATAAGTTATTGACTTGACATAAAACCTATACATTGATTGGCTAGTTTATTAGGACCCTCATCTAATATCGGGTTGGACCACTTTTCACCGCAGTAGCTTAGACTGGCATACACTCCATAAGATGCCAGAAAGTGTCTTGTTCGATTGTAGCTCATTCATCGAATAATATTATCTGCAAATAGTTCAACATTGATAACAGAAGATTACGTTGGCAAATATGATGTTCAAATTCATCACTAGTATGCTCAATCAGATTAAAACCTAATGATTATGCAGGCTGGCCAAGAAAGATGACTGTCGTCGCTACCATAATTGGCAGACTGTTTTATTGTTATGTTGGAAGGGACAAAGAACCCTTGTCAATCAGGGTGAAAATGAATAACTGTAGAGTGAACATACTAATAAGAGCATTCAGGTACAGATCTGTATGTTTTCCGCCTTTTTTTTTCTCCAGGAATTAAGAATCTAACTCCTGCAACCAGAACCGTCAGCATACTATTGTACTTCATCTTATAAGTTTCCACAGTCAGAGTAAACATGTGGATTTTTTACAGATTGTTACCCTGATAGAATACATTTTCAGTCATTCACTGTACACAGTTTATGTTTTAAGAATCAGTGAAGACGTGGCTACCTGCTTGCTTAAGAGATAAGTGGTTTTTGGTCTCTTTATTACTGCCGTATAACTATCTTTTATAATGTCCTTTATATGGTACTGTTGGAGATAAATTCAAATTTGATGACGAGGAACCCATATTTAAAAACATATATAGTTTGAAGACGGTTTTAATGGGCAGTAAAAGAAACTATATTACAAATGTACAATGTTTCGACAAGTTTTTATCATCATCAGACTCCTGTCATGATGATGAAAAAAGCTTGTCGACATTTTGTACTTTGTAATAAAGTGTCTTTCGCTATTCAATCAAGTTTGTTTCTCTCTTATACTCTCGTGCTTTAAACGAAATAAAATAATTCTGTAACAAATGGAAGATCAAGATAAACACCCATAAAATACAGTTAATATTATTCATAAAATCAACTAAACAAAGCAGAACAAACCCCCAACTATAACTAGATGGACACTCCTCGAAGTATTCACATCTGCAAAAGTCTTATAATAAATTTATGATTCAAAACTAACGTGGATTGGACATATTAAGAGTATCAAAAATTGGATCTGGCTGAGAGTGATGTATCTTGCGAGTCTGTCAAGTAATAATCAAGGAGCTTCACCAGACATGACACTCAAACTATATAAAACATACATTAGGCCAATCATAGAATACGCCTGTGTGACATGGTTAAACGTTTCTAACATAGAGACAGAACATCTTCAAAAAAAAAAAAAAACACAAAACTTTAATCAAAAGCCTGTAAAGTCCCCAGTACAACAAATTCAGTCTGACTCTTTCAAGTCCGACGAAATCGGACCTAAAAATCCGATACAACGGTTAGCGTTTCCATAGAATTTCTTTCAAAAAAATAAGTAATTTATAAGTACAGATGTGTAGCGATTATGAAGAAACTGAAAAGTAACAGAAGACGTAATGAGAAAGCATGGAATACGTTAATATGTT